CTGGCAACAAGGCTCCCTCCCTATGTCACTGCACCCTCCTTTCCCTGCACTCCCACCAGATCTGCTTCTGTATCAGACCCTTTCCCCCCTTTCTCTTAGTTTCCTCATGGCCCCGAATCCCTCTTGCCACCCCCCATCCCCTTAATATACACATGCGCGCAGGGTGTCAAGATCAACATCATCGACACACCCGGTCACGCCGACTTTGGCGGGGAGGTGGAGCGCGTGCTCAACATGGCAGACGGCGTGCTGCTGCTGGTGGACGCGGTGGAGGGCCCCATGCCCCAGACCCGCTTTGTGCTGAAGAAGGCGCTGGCGCTGAACAAGAAGGTGCTGGTGGTCGTGAACAAGGTGGACCGCCCCGCGGCGCGCCCCGACTGGGTGGTGGAGGCCACCTTTGACCTCTTCGTCGACCTGGGCGCCAACGATGAGCAGTGCGGTGAGCCATGGGTGACTGTTCCATTGTGGAAGGGTCGCTGCGTGAGGGGAGGGGTGGCGGGCGAAGGTGGCAGGTCTGCTGGAGGTTCTGGTGCATGCACGGAGCGGTACGCAGACCGAGGATGGCAATCGCCAGCGCCTCCCTCTGACCGGGATGCTGCTGCACCGACGACTCTCAAGCCTTGCTTCCCTACCCGGCTCGGCCATTGTGTACATATTGCCTGGGAGTACCGTGCTCCAGGCCTTGACTCCCGTTTCCACCTTCCCACGCAGACTTCCCCGTCGTGTTTGCGTCGGGCATGGGCGGCGTGGCCGGCACCGACCCAAACGCCCTGGCTGAGGACCTGGGCCCGCTGTTCGAGTCCATCCTGAACGAGGTGGACCCGCCCCAGGTGGTCCAGCAGGGGCCCCTCCAGCTCCTGGTCACAAACCTGGACTATGACGAGCACAAGGGGCGCATCGCCATTGGTCGCGTGCAGAGCGGGGCCATCTCCAAGGGCGCGCCCGTGGTCTTCCTCAAGCCAGGCGAGGAAGGAGGTTTGGGGTTGTGCATGTGTGGAAGAGGGGGCCGGGGGAAGGGTCGGTGTTGGATGTTGTGAGGTGCAGCATGGCGTCCAGGTTCAGGATGGTCCTGTGGCAGTCTCGATGGGAGTGCAGTCCCCAAGCCTCCAAAGGCTGGGCGCTGCTGCAGGATATCGCCATCCTTTGACCAACCACCCTCCACCGCTCGACTGCCCACCACGTCTTGTACGCTCACTCGTCCCTCTCACCTCATCCACCGACACACAGGCTCTCCCCCCACCAGCGCCAAGGTGACCGAGCTGTTTGTGTATGACAACTTTGCGCGCACCCCTGTGGACACGGTGGAGGCGGGCGACATCTGCGCCTTCACGGGTCTGTCGGCGGTGTCCATCGGGGACACAGTGTGCCAGCCGGACGCACTGGTGCCACTGCCCACCATCGAGGTGGAGGAGCCCACCGTGCGCATGACCTTTTCGGTCAATGCCTCGCCCTTTGCGGGGCAGGAGGGCAAGTTTGTGACCAGCCGCAACCTGAAGGACCGGCTGGAGCGGGAGCTGGAGAGGAACCTGGCGCTGCGCGTCGAGCCGGGAACCGGCGCTGAGTCCTTCGAGGTGTCGGGTCGCGGGTGAGCCAGGCTGCTGGCGGGCGGTGTCTCTTTGTATCTTGGGACATGGAATGTTGATGCCCTGGGTGCATGACTGTCACACCAATGCGTTTGGTCGGTGGGGGAGGAGCTTCCACACGGCATGGTGGCGGCGCTTCCCCCTCCCGCACCAGTCTTTGACCACCCTCTCGCCGACTTCCCCGAGTCAAGCCTCCCCTCCCCCAATCCAACTATCCTCCAGGGCCCTGCACCTGGGCATCCTGATGGAGAACATGCGCCGTGAGGGGTTCGAGTTCGCGGTGGGCCCGCCCAAGGTGATCACGCGCACCGACCCCGCCACCGGCGCGCGGCTGGAGCCCGTGGAGGAGGCCATCGTGGAGGTGGCCGCCGACCACGTGGGCGGCGTGGTGGACCTGATGGCGGGGCGGCGCGCGGTTATGCTGGGCATGGCGGCGGGGTCGGCCGGCACCACTCGCATCACGTACCGCCTGCCCACGCGCGGCTTGTTGGGCCTGCGCTCTGCCATGCTCACCGCCACCAAGGGCACCGCCGTGCTGTCCACCATCCTGTCGGGGTACGAGCCCTGGGCGGGCGACATCAGCACGCGCGAGAACGGGTCGCTGACCGCGCACGAGACCGGGCAGGTCACCGCCTACGCCGTGGAGTCCGTGCAGCAGCGGGGCCGGCTGTTTGCGCGCCCGGGCGACGCCGTGTACGAGGACCAGGTGGTGGGCATCCACCAGCGGGCGGGGGACCTGAAGGTCAACGTGTGCAGGAAGAAGGCGCTGACCAACATGCGCGCGTCGGGCAAGGACAACACCGCCGTGCTGACCGAGACCATCCCCGTGACCCTGGACTACGCACTGGAGGTGAGGCTAGTGTGAGAGCCGGTTGGTGCGGGGTGCTGCTCATGGGCTGTGCCCGAGACCGGAGTTAGAAGTCGGGGCTGGTGGTTCCAATCTGTAGTTTGGGGCCTCTGGGCGTGGGAGAGGGGTGGGGATTTGAATTTCATGCGTAAGAACCCCGCGCCAGCTGACCGGGACACTTCCTGATGCCATCTCTTCATGCCCATGCCTTCCTCACCACACCTTATTTCACAGTATGTCGGCGAGGACGAGCTGGTGGAGGTCACGCCCAAAAACATTCGCATCCGCAAGAACCCTAACATCAAGCCCAAGAAGAAGTGATGGGAAAGGAGCAGGGTCCCTTTTGTGTTTCAAGAGTGCGGTATGATCGTCGGCTGTTTTGAGACTCCTTGCAGGCAAACCGCACGACGCGTGCATGTCTCATTGCCAGTGACATGCACGCTGAATGTTTGGAGCATCCATCTGTAATTATAGCAGTGCGCCGCAGAAGATAGTAGAAGGCAAGACAGCGCCGCCACAGATGATGTCTCTGAGGCTTCACTCAAGCAGTATCCCTGCCACATTAAACTGAGTGATAAAACACAAAAGATCTGTCAGAAGTGGGATTCGAACCCACGCCCTTCCGGATACGGACCTGAACCGCACGCCTTAGACCGCTCGGCCATCCTGACGGTGGTGTTGGCTCCTGACCTGGTGTGACCCAGGGGGGGTGACTTGGCCAGGATGAATTTTGCACGAGCCATTCCTCGCCGAGAGGAAGGTGCCACTTCAGGCCTGTGATTCAGCAACAGGAGCTGATAAATTGATTAAGAAAGACACACAGTGGTTTATCTCTTCTCGCTGCTTGGTTATTTTGTAAGTTATAGTTGGTGGCAGCGTCGTGGCTACCAAATTTTCCTAGGGCGCGAGATGTAGCATCACGGAGAGAAGTACACCCATGCATACCAGTGAGCCAGCAAATACTGGATGCAATGCAGATCACCATGATGAACAGAATTTAATCTCGAATCTCACATGCAATTGAGGGTGCTGTCGTGGTATAGGATAGCAGTAGTGGCGAAGCGCTGGTACTTTTCGCAACGCTCGCCTTCGCCACTGATTGGGACGCTCAGGATACCCTCAGTCCTGCATTCAAGAGCAGCAAAACGGGCAGACGCCTGCTCAGGCATCGTCAGTATGACATCTGAGGCCGCGAAAGAAATCGAGGTGCCCACCAGCCTTGACAAATCGCTGTTCGACGAGGAGATTTCCGTGCTGGCCCTGCAGGTGCCCAAACAGCGGTGCCATGAATACATGAAGTCTCTTTCCAAGTAAGGAGGGCATAAATGCTGGTATATGCATTGCATGCAGTCTCGCATGTGAGCTCAAGGTGTGGTATCACCTGCTCTGACAGGCTTGCAGGTAAGTGATTCCCTCGCAACTCTCACACAGATACTTGCTGAACAAACCACGACTACAAAACGTCAAGGACGCTGCTTCTTCACCTGACTCTAAGCTGCTACTCCTTTCAACTGACTATACACTTGACGGTGATAAGATAGGGCTGCTGTGAAGGTTCAGACCTGAAGGGCACAATGTCAGCCATGATGCGCCCGCATGGCAGGGCAGGATGGGACACTCTCGTGCCTGGAAGGAGATGGCGGTGAGTCTTAGTTATTCATTTTAGAAAGAACTTGTCTCCAACGATCCCCATTGCCAGATCTACCTGAACCAGTGTTGGCTTTGAAAGAGAAGGAGGATCTGACTCTGGTGCCCACCACAGTACACGTGGACTACTCCTACTGGCCAGCCCCTCATGTACTCAAGGTGAGCCTGTGAGAGGAATGGAGCACATTCAGTGCAATCACTCCAGTACTGAGCCACCGCTGCTGCCTCTCCTGATTCCAATTGTATTTTCGATGGCTTTCTGGCCTTAAACAGACAACATCTCAGGCTATGAAGTTGCTAAAGGCATTCTGACAGAAGTAAATATTGACTTTTCCCACACGCGCTTGTAGCGTCTGCTGCCAGAGGGCATGGAGGTGCCGTCTGCCTTTGAGACCATAGGACACATTGCACACCTGAACCTAAGGGAGGACGCCCTTCCATGGAAACATATCATTGGCCAGGTAAGGCTGCAAGGGCATTGTCGGTGAAAGGGCGCACAGCTTTTGTACAGGAGCTCAGAGGTGGTTTGCAGGTTGATAAATGAATGGTGTCTGCTGGCAGCAATGCCAACGCTTTACATAGAGAGCTACTACAGCCCTCGAACAGAGGCTTGCACCGACCATGAAGTAACCACCAAAGCCCTGCCCTTACCACCTGCCCGCCAGGTGCTCTTGGAGAAGAATGTGAAGCTGCGCACCATCGTGAACAAGCTGGGCAGCATAGACAACGAGTACAGGGTGTTTGACATGGAGGTTATCGCTGGTGAAGAAGACACAGTCACCGAGGTGCAGCAGCAAGGACACCGATTCCAGCTGGATTTCCGCAAGGTGCTGTGGCGGAAGATGTGGGGTGGCTGCAGGTGGGGACAGTAAAGGGGTTCACACTTGTGTTCCGTGTAGATGCCCTGTTGAATGCAGCAGACCTGTGGTGCTTTGAAGAATGGGTGGATGACCCTGCCCATGAATGCTCTCCATATACGAGGGAGGTTGAATGATTGTAGCCCAAGGCGCCCGGCAGCCATTTGCCTGGGTCATGTTTGTCCTCTGCAAACAGTATAACCC